ATCTGCTTTCTCTTTTTTTCCATTTTTTATTTTTGGAGACAGGGTCTCACTCTTTTGCCCAGGCTGGAGCGCGGTGGCACTATCACAGCACACGGCAGCCTCAACCTCCCGGGCTCAGGTGATTCCCCCATGTCTGCCTCCTGAGTAGCTGGGACTACAGGCGTGCACCACCATACCTGGCTAATTTTTTGTATTTTTACTAGAGGCTGGTCTTGAATTCCTGGGCTCACGTGATCCACCCTCCTCAGCCACCCAAAGTGCTAGGATTACAGACGTGAGTCACCACGCCAGGCCTGTTTATTTTTAATTACTAAATGTTTTTTCTTCCAAAATAAAAGGAAAGTATGTCCTTTATAGAAAAATTAAAGTTAGAGTAAAGTAGAAAGAAGTCCATCATAATTGCCCATAACCAATCTCTAGGAGGCCATCTAAATAATTTATCCTGGATTTGTTCCTGTATTCTTATCCATTTGAGATTTACATACTTGAGATATATATGCACGCAATTTTGTATCCTTGTTTGCTTAACATTGTATCATAAGCACTTTCAACGTCATTAAAAGTCCATCGTAAACATAATTTTAATACCCAAAGTTGGTGATAAATATCTCAGTGCAGGAATCTTATTCTTTATTTCAGATTTCCTTAGGATAAATTGCTTCTTAGAAGTGGAGTTACTGTGGGCAATGGGAAGAGTACATTTTAGAACGTTCCTTGATACACTGACAAATTCCTTTCCAGCAGTGTAGCAAAATCACACCACCAGATAAAAGGCTGATTTCACTGGACCCTCACCAGTAATGAAGAGATGTTTATCGATAAGCAACATTTGTTAATATTACTGGTAAGGGGAAAAAAACCCTATCTTTTAAAAAAGTCTGGAGTTGGTTTAGTCTGAGACAGTATGGCTGTGGCGTTTTGGTCTTTCAGATAAGTTCTTCTGCCAGCGCTGCAGATTTCAGTGTATCCTGGGATGAGAGACTCTGCCTCCACCTGCTGCCACTATCCTCTTGGAGCTAAAAGATATCTACTTACAGATAATATTGTGAAATTATAAGAATTTCAGTATAAGAAGATGGTTGTTGCATATAATCTTCCTGGCACCAAATACATCTGTTTTAGAAACTTGGAAGAGAAACTGACCTAAAACAAGCTCATCTTGAAGGGGAAGTTAAGAACCCTACTTCATTTGTGTGAGTCCTGGGACCATGTCGAACTGGCTAAAAATGTCACTTGCAAGTACCATACAGAAAACAGAAATGTCACTTTGGTGGAATATAAGTTTGGGCCACTTTTCATAACACTGTGTTACGACTCGAATCTTGAGGAATCTGCAATGGAGCTCATGAAAGATGAGCATTTACAAGGGTTCTCAGACTCCACACAATTTACTATTTTGATGGATACGTTATTTACCAAAAGCAAATATGTAAGAGCTTTGGAAATATTGACAGAGATGAAAAACTCAGATGTGAAGTTCACCAGTATACCTATGTTCTTGCTTTTGCAATTGGCTACAAACTGAATAGCTCTGAATCTTTCAAAGTCTGTACTACATTAAGAAATCAGGCCCCAATCAAAAGAGTTCTCTCCAGGAGAGCATCCTTTTTCCTATGGCATTAGAACCAGGTGGCAAAAGCTATGCTCATTTTTTTCTCACATCATGAATCCAGAAAGCATAAAGTTTACTAATTTAGATATGATAATCCATATCCAGTCAAATATGTTAGCAACTGTGATAGAGATAACAAAGGGTGTTGCAGAATGAAATGTATCAAGATTCGTTGAAAGACCTGAGTTCTCAGAGGAACTGCTGGCCAAAGTGAGGAAAAAAGGGAAAGATGTGCTTGTCTTTGTGGCCAGATATCATGAGATGTATGGAAAACTGCATGTCGTTGTCCAGGTCACCACTTACACTTTGGATCCTCTGCCCTGCGACATCCCTTTAAAAATGCAAGGGATGGGAAATCCCACATGTTGCCGTAAAACAACAGGATGGTCACCAGTTAGACCTTCACCCTCTCCGCTAGTCCCTGCTGGCTGAGTAAATCCTAGTTTCAGTCACCCGTGGGTATGAAGGACCTGCTTCTAGTGAGTTATTGGCTTCCCTAAGAAACAGGCATCACACTTCACCAGACACTACAGTGACACTTGGTTTCCTCCCTAAAATCACTGAATGGTGGCATGCTGCTCTCTGAGAAGTTATGTCGTGTCACTGTGAAGATCTAGATACAAGCACAGAAAGCTCAGCTCCTTCAGAAAGCAGGCTTCCCCTGTGCACACTATTGAGGATCCTTGAAGGAACATGGTCACTGTCTCCAGTCCAGCTTCCAGTACTGGAGTGGAACCCCGTAGGCACCATCAGGAATGAATTTCAGTACAAGTGTGGTCAACTCTGATTTGCAAGGGAGTAATTACTTGCAAAGTATACCCTTGCTGAATTCAGGAGTTCCAAAACCCTATTCTACCATATCAGAAAATAGCCCAGGATTTCCTCACTGCTCTGCCTTCATGTATTCTGTAACTTGAGCCGTCATTTTCTCATCTGCAAAATAATAGTGCTTATGTGTATTTGCATACATATTTGAAATCTTCATTCAAGGTTTAGTAGGGTAAAATTTTCTCAAAAATAAGAGAAATAAAGGTTCTGGAGCAAAAAAAAATCTGGATTTTAAATTACTACTGAGATTGAATCTTTAAAAATGCAAGTAAAACTATAGGTCACTTAAAACTTCTCTAAGATAAATGTTGTATAAATACACTGGTGCTTGCTCTTCATTAACTCAATTAATGAAAGGGAAATAGCTTAAATCATACCTAAAGTTGCTATATCAGAGTTCTTGGTCGCAACACTGAAATCATTTCTGGCTGACTGAACCAGAAGAGAAATATATTGGAAAGTCATTAAGTAGCATACTAAAGACACAGGAAGTTTGGCAAATCAGGCTCCTTCCACAGGAAGGGAAGCTTAGCAGCTGAAATTAGAACAGGTGGGTCATCACACCATTCAAACAGCTCACTTAGGACACTACTGGCATTGCCACAGTGTCACCTCTGGCACTACTGTCTCTGAACACAAAACCCACTTCACAGATAATGGAGACATTTCTAAAATGTTTCTTCTTGAAACACATAATTCAGACTCAAATAACGGTACAGGAGTCTCTGAGGCTGGTGTTGGGTCACAAAATGATACTCCAGCTGCCAGGGAGCGGGAGACGGTGGGTGTTGGGCCATTTTGGCTTTTATATAAATTTGGATGCCAGATAGCAAGACCAGGATCAATGACCGCTCTAAACATGTATGTGGAATTTTTTGTTTCTTAATGCTTTTTAGGAATCTGGCTAACCTTCTTAATTATCACTGAATTTTAAATTGTCCAGGAGATCATGAGATTATCTGGTCCAATACTGCAAACTCAAATGCCTACCATATTCTCAAATGTCAGTGAGGTGGGGGTGTATGGGAGTCGTGGGGACTGTGGAAAACTGAACAGTGTCTTCACAGTCTAAAGTGGACACTCGCTATTCAACTCCAGCTGATGGCTGCTAGAACTCGCCTTGGACCAAACATCTGATGTTACAATTTTACAGAAAATGTGAAAAGTCTGAATTTCTGTGAAATCTCCTAACTTCAACATTTGGAACCAACTTCAAACTAAGAAAAACAACACTGTTGCTTCTTAAAAATCAAGGCTGCAGGCTGCCTCCAACAATCAAACCTCCTCATTTAAAAGAAAAGAATTCAGGAAGATGAGGCTTAAGAAGGTGAAATGCCTGAGACCAAACAACTCAGTTGGTGGCTGAGCCAGGGCCAGAATTTTGGTTTCCAGAGGAAAGACTAACTAAGAAAAGCCAGTGTTTTCCCACCCCACTCTGCAGCCATTTCTCTCACTTGGAGGTAAGCTCCCAACCAAGCTCAAGAAAACCGACTCTATTTCAACCAGCAGCAGCAACCTTCACAAAATGTTTATCAATTAATAGAACCTGTCAAGCCAATAGAAACAGCTTTCAGTATTGGATCAGAATTAAAATTTAAGCTTCTACTACTTTCTAGGTGATTAACCTGGGATAAATTATTTTACTTCTCTGCCTCTCGTTCATGGAAAAAACAAAAACAAAAAATGAGTCCCTTTTATATATAGGTTGTAGCAGATGGAATAAGATCTTGTGTACCGACTGCCTAACACAGTGCCAGAACTGTAGTAAGAACACTGCATGTGATAGTAACATAACATCCAAGAGAGATTCTAATAATTCGTATTTTGCAAGTACACACAAATTGGGGGTAGAGGGAAGAACTAAGGTGCTTCATGGTGGGCGTAGCCAGTTGTGGATAAATATCAAAAAGGAATTCCTGATATGAGGTATAAGTGGGATTTTCAACCAAAACCCTATCCTTCCCCAGACTCGTGACAGTTTAACGGTCAGCTGCATCAAGGCTTGTGTACTGTGCAGTCTTCAAAGGCACCACTCCTGTCTAGCTCGGTGAAATTGATGGTGGAGCAAAAGAGACTTTAGGTGGTTCCGGTCTGGGGAGAAGACGTGCAGGGTTTCAGATGCGAAAGTGGCACCCAACCGCTTCACTCTCGCTCTAGGCCAACCGCAGGGGCCCTGCTTCCTTCCACCTGCGGGCTTTTTCTGCAGAATGCGGGAAGCCGCCGCCGCCGCCGCCAGGGAGGAGGGGGCGGAGGCAGAGGCGGAGGCGGCACCCAGGGGCCGGGGCAGGGGAGGCCGGGACCATCGCAGTGACAATTTATTTTCCTGCAGCAGCGACAGCAGGGACGGCTGCTGAAGATTCGGGGTCGGCCGGCCTGCGCGTGGGTTTGCGAGGAAGCTGTTCGTCCCCTGCGCTGAGGTGTCCGACAGTGAGGAGGAGAGCGACGCACGGAGCCCGCGCGAGTGGAACCAGCAAAGCTCCATCGGTCGGCACAGGAGAAGGGGGAGGAGGCACGGCCGAGGCAAACGAGCGGACGCCTAGTCGCCGGGTGCCGGTATCACCCCGCTGCAACGCCTTCCAGAAAAGGCCACCGCGGCCCGGGTTGCAGCGGCCGGACGGATGCCAAGGCCACACGGCAGGCGCGGGGGCAGCCGTCGCAGTCGCCGTCCCACGCGCGCTGCGGACACCCAGGGTTGCTGGTGAGTAGCGGCGCGCGCGCTTGAGTGAGAGCGCGCACCGGACGGGGAAGTACGCACGGCGGGTGCGTGTGCCTCGTGGCCTGGCGCGCGCCGGCCCTTCCGCTGGCAGCGTCCGGTCCCGGGCTAGCTCTGGGGCAGGAAAAAGGCACTTTGGCGGCTGATCGCTTCCTTCCTGCCAGTCCTGCGATCGGCCGCCTCCATCGGCGCCGCCTGCATGCGCCGCTCCGCTGGGCCCTCGGGGTTAGTTTCACCTTGATAGGGAGGCAGGAAGCCCTGGCTGCTGGTGGCGGGGCGGGACTCTGGCCTGACCTATACGTGGGTGCGCCTGTTTTTCTGGTTCAGCCCTGGGTTGCAGCCCTGGAGATGATGTCGACCTTGGGAGAGACCACTGCACGGTCTCTAGCGGCGCGGTGTGGAGGAGGGAAGGGCGAGGGTTAGAAAAACGGACCTTTACCCTGGCTGAGCGGTGCCATGCCTTTCCAGATGATGTTACTTTTGTGCCGTTTATGAGCGACTAAGACATTGCGCCGCACCTGAATAACTTAAAGCCTTCACCTAAAGCCCCCAGTGAGATGCACAAAGAAATGGAATGTCTCCAAAACATATTTTTTTCAGAACTTTCTCTAAAACAACTGACGCTGCTGACACCCCCAGAGCCGAAGGTGCCATAATTGCTGAAGTTTAAAAGAAAATTTATACAAGGAATAAGTAATTCAGGAAACGGAACCCAATCTAGAGGTTTGGAAAAAAAAAAAAAAATCAAGTGCCTGGGAAGTGGGGTGGGGTGGCCTGCTTCCTGGAAATCTGTGTTCCGTAGTAAGTAAAAAAGACAGCTTTCAAAGTAAGCCCGTGGTGAGCACACTGCTTTCCAAACATCCTGCTCATTACTGAGAATAACATGAAGTCCTGGATTTTAAGCTATTTCCGAAGACATAGTAGATATCACTAGGATGCCGGTTTATGGTCTCATGATTTAAGGCCCTGTCAAGGTCATTAACGTAGATTTGTTCCAGCTGATAAATTGTACCTGAATGTTTGATTGTCCGTGTCAATATTTTTGAGGGTGGGTTTTGACGGTTATTTTACACAGAAATTAAGCCACCATGTTTTGTTTTTATCCCGACCTTGTTTCCATTGGAAATTTTGTGTTTTCAGGATGGATGCTACATTGTATTTCAAAAATATACTCTGCCACTGGATTATAGTGGGCATTGTGTAGCTACACTATACATATCTTTATTTTTAATACAAGTTAATGTCGCTGAGCAGTAGACTCTTTTTGTTTACCATTTGCACCGTGAGAGCTTCTCCATTCAAAGGCGTAAAATGTTATTGGAATCTACCTGGAAAATGAATTGGTGATTGTTTTCTGTTCAGAAACGCATACAGCAAATTGCCACTGAGAATCTGCTTTTGCACATACTTTGGCTGTAATTTTGTAGCAACTGGTTCTTGGGAATTTCAAGAAGAAACTTGTTTTCTTATCCCCACCTGTAAAGTAAGCACCAAAATTTAAATTATAAGGCAGATAACCTGAGTCCTTTACCCCTATCTCAACCTTCAAGGCCTGTTTCTTGGTACTCTTTCCCTGTTTCATAGGAGTCTTACGGTTTGTGGGAGGCTTGAAGGGAGTAATGAGGGACCTGTTTCCTAAGGATGTCCTCAGTAGAGAGATTTGTTTCTGGAGGAGAGAGTGTCTTTGGGGTTGGCTCCTAAGAAAGACTGATAAAAATAGTTATAAAGAATTGTTAATAATAGTTCCCTCTTCTTACTTTCAGCACATAGGACTTAATTAACACCATTTGATCATTTCCTTCCTTTAGGACCCTTCCCAGCTGTAAGAATTTACTGCTACAACCCAAGAAATGAGATTGCATTTTACAAGAAAAGAAGGCTGATAATTCTTGCCCAAAACATGATAAGTAGAAGGAATGTGAGAGAAAATAATGTAGATTCCATCCAGGAAGTGCTAGGTACTTTCCTGGTGGGCACATTTACAAATTAGAGACATTTTAATTAATCTACTGGATTTACGATTCTGTCTACTACTAACATCTTTTTCTTGACCTTATGAAAGATTTATAGATGGCTTCAACTGAAACTACAGGAAATGACTCATGGTTATCCCTGAAGATATTAGAGCCAGCTTTCCATTCCTTAGGGCTGATGCATACCAGCTCTTCGATAAATATTTGCTAAATAAATGAAAAATTTTAGAATGTCTTCCTAACCAAACTACATCACCTCTTTTGCTATTGATTTTTTAAATCCTAACTTTATATGAGTCACCAAACATTCCATCAAATTGAATCCCAGTTCATATAATCAACTAAGAAGGCCAACATCCTCGATTGAAGAAACAATAATAAAATCAAAACAAAACTCGAAAACAAAACAAAAACAAACAAAAAATACTATTGGTACCTGTTGACTTGCTTATTCCAGCTATCTGAACATGTGAACTGTCCAGTTGAACGTGTGAATGTACATTCAGAAATCCTGAGTTGACATCAGAATGTTCAACTCAGGAATAATCTGGATGTAGCTACATCTGGATGTGGCTTTTGTCAGAAATTATTTGCATTTCTAAGCAAATCAGATTAACTTCTAGTACAATCTTGCGTCTCTGCATGTCAAGTGGACAGGCCAATTTAACATTTGGCAGATTGCTGAGTCTTCGAAACACATGTTGTTTGATTCTCTAACTTTTAAATTAAATCCATATTATTTTTTCCATTGATGTGGTTGGCTTAGAGACATTAAATTAGACTGGTGGTTACTTAGTAACTTGTGTTTGGTGGTTACTTAGTAACTTGTGTTTATTAAAAGAAGCCCGTTGATATAAACACCAGTACTTCTTATGTCTTGATTTGCTCTAGTTAACCTTTCAAGGTACTGTTTTGGAAATGGGTCCATTGTCTTGAATATTAAGGATGTTATGACTCCTTTTTTTTGTTTGTTTTAATTCTGACTTTCCATCTCCCATCATTAGAAAGTCTCCCAGTTATTCAGGTTCTAGTTTCAGGATGACGGATTAGAAAGCTATCTGAAATTTACCTGGATATTAACTTTCTAGTGGATAATAATAATGCAAATCTTATTCTTGAAATTCGTCCTTTTATATCCTTCTCTGATCAAGCTTGTTTCATTCTGAACAAAAGTAAAATAAGATTCTCAATTTATTTTTTAAAATTGGGCTGTGTCCAAAGATAAATACATAAAAGTAAAATATTATGTATAATAAAAAACTGCTTATCACTGTTTTGAAGTAGCACAAACACTGCTATTCTCTGCATAATGAAACATGGCCATTCCTATCAAGTATTTATTTGATAAGTAGGCTCTTGAGCACTTGAACAGGAGTTAAAAGCAGGTTTCCTCCATGTCGTATTAAGGCCCTTGAAAGCTGGGGGAGGAATTTTGATTTGAGGTGGTAGCCAATAGTAGGTTCCTTGAAAGGGAGCAGGTGCGAAAAGCATCTTGTCAGAAGAACTCTTTGGCAGTTGGGTGGAGAGTGGATTAGTATTAGCGAGTGGAGGCGACAATCCAGTGTCTGATGGTGACAGCCTGATCTCAGATCCCATTGCGATGGAGAAAAGAAAACCTCAGGCAAATACCAGGATTCTTTGTTTTATGTGAAAGAGATCGAAAACCTGTGGCACAAGTGTGATCACTAATACCTTCCACACCCACAGGGACATCACCAGTGGATTACAGCATTCTTTCCTGTGGAGCCCTGGTGTAACCTCAGAATCTTGCAAACATTTGACAAATATTTATTAATAGCTGTTCGTTATTGAAGATGTGTTATATGCCAGGCACTGTACTGCTTTAACACAAGTTTATCTCAATGGTGATGGAGTGGTGGGAAACAGGATTTTTTCCCCCTACTTTCTAGTTGTGTATCCTTGGACAAGTTACTGACTTCTGTGAGTCTCAGTTTCCTTGCTTTTCAATTGAAACATTAGTTTCTATCTCAGAAGGTTTTAGGGAGGGTTAAATAAATAGCTGTAAATACAAAGTGTTTAGAACAATGTCTGGCACAAAATTAAGTGCTATATGTGTTCATTGTTATTCTTGTTATTATTTTTTAAACAACCTTATGCCTAAGTACCATTTTGCAGATTTAAAAAATGGATGTACAGAGGAGCTATGTGAATTGCTCAGCATCATAGGCTGGTAAATGGTAGAGCTGGCCATAAAACCCAGGCAATATGAGTCCAACACCTCTTGTCCTATCTTGTATGGATCCCTGTCTCCTATACTGCATACTGGGTGCTGGGGATACTGATTGGAGCAAGAAAAGTAGGGGCTTGTCCTCATGGAGCTTCAGTGTTCCAATCCTCTCCAATGTAGATCTGTCATGTCCAATGTAGAATTAGTAGCCGGATTATAACTGTTTTTCCTTGATGTTTTGGTATTTTGTAGGTAATGTTTTTATTAAATTCTTTATTAAGAAGTGCTCCAATTTGTGTTTTCATATATGCTTTAAAAATGGATTATTTTCTGGATCTTTACCCTAACACAGTTGGCATATACAATACTCATGTCTCTCCTTATACTCAAGGCTTCTTATGTCTCCCTTATATGATGTATCAGATTCTGGGGCAGGTTTCAGTATTCTGAAAAACTTATATGCCATCCATTTACCTCCACACACCCAGAGTCTCAGATATCTCCCATTGTAAGCTGTGGTGGAGTGAGAATGACATTTCTAACCATCTTTTAATTCAGCGTATTCAGAATATTTTATAGAGTAATGGCAAAGCAAGTTTTAGTTGTTCTTTGACTTGTTGAAGTAATTATGTCTGATTATAAGAAGCCAGATTTTATTTATAGGTGGGAAGACTCCTGTGGCAGTGAAGACTAAGCAATTCTTAACTCCTTCAGAGCTTTAGGATGGAATCTGCCATCACTGATTCCCGTATTTTGACTTTATTGCATTAATTCTTATAAACATTTGTTCTTATAACTCTCAGAAATCTATAGCTAGTATTGTTTTCACCTAAGTAGGTGAAACTTTTTCTTGGTCTTGTATAAAGTTGAATTTGCCTCCAGCAAAGAATCATTGAGTATAAGGGGAGATATATGTGCTGTGTATGCCAACAGTGTTAGGCAAAACAAAAACAAAATAATCAATTTTTTAAAGCATATGTGAAAACGCAAATTGGAGCACTTTTTAATAAAGAACTTAATAAAAGCATTGCTTATAAAATACCAAAATGTCAAGGAAAACTAGCAATCATCTGGGTACTAATTTTACATTGAAGATGATAGATTTACTTTGAGATTTACTTTGGAGATGGTTGGAACCCTGTAGTGCCATGAGGGCAAGCCCCCACTTTTCTTGCTCCAGTTGCTATCCTCGGTACCCAGCATGCAAGTATAAAACACTAATAATTTTGTTGATGGAGATTTTGAAATCTCACTGTTAAAAATATACTCTGCATCCTTTAATTTACCTTTTTGTGTAAATTACACATTATATTATTTGGCAAAAGTTCAATTCTTTTTAAAGAAACATTTTAAATTTCATGAGTCTAAATCTGATTAAAGATGAAAGAACTTGAGATTTGGTGAATTTGGCTCTTTGTTTTTTAAACTGTTGCGATACTTAGGTTTCAGTGGCATCACAGTAACTGAACCAGATTCAGCAAAAGCTCATGCGAGAGATAACTGTTAAGAGGCCCATCAGGAATTATTCATTTTAATTGTGTGATTTGATGCTTCTCTGGGTT